GGTTATTGTAGCTTCCAGTTTTTTTAATTCTCTTTTCACGAAAGAATAACCCCGTGACATCTGCGCCAACTCTAGGATAGCTTTCCTTAGGGCTATAGTGCTTATTGGGCTGCCGGGTCATTCGCTCAATTTAAAGGTAGAGATCCATTCCTTTCCAATTTGCTTACTACGTTTAACTAAGGTTCACGACCTCTTTATCTCGCGATTTTTGGGTATGCATACAGTGCAACTGTTCAATTTTTTGTCGACTCATAAGGCAGACTTTTTTCCTTGGAAATATCATGTAACATGTGCTTGATCAGAGGAAACGTTGTTAGTAAAAGTGTTAGAATGTTAACACAATCCAAAGGAAACGACGGGAATCTACATTGAAAGGTTCAGGTCGCCTGTTTATGAATTATCAGTCAGTTAACCACAATGTTCATTTACATTTAAAACTCGTACGGACCCCAAAGAAACTTACAAGTGTTGGAGGTATTTGTGTGGGTTGATTGATATGGACTGCAAGTGTTAATACCTAACGAGGTCGTCCAGAGAGAGACGTGAGCGTTCTGATGGGTTCTTACTCGGTCGGTATTTTTCTAAGAGGGCTGTTTCTACAGAAACAGTCATAAGCCGCGTATCTCTGTTCTTGAAAGCTAGCAAATTCAATGAAATAAAAAAAGTTTGGTCGGAATGCCATGTAATAAACTACTTACTGACCTCTCTTGCTCGAGCCGTTCTTAAGAATATTGGCCCTTCGTTGTACGGACTTAGCTGCCATCAGTCCGTACTGCCACGATCTCGGGCCAATATTCCCCAGTGCAGCCCTCACGCTCGTTTAATGAGAAGTCAGTGATAGTTATCCAGATTTGTCAGTGTGTCTTCATGTTATATTCGTGACACGAACTGTTCGCGTCACCTCATTGTTAGAGATATTTTCAAGATATGTTTGATGTAATAATATGAGCTACAGTGCTTTGAGAATGAAGCCGAACTTTTCAAATTTTGTTTGTTTGAAAGGTTTTGACTTTGAAGATACGACGAGCAGAAAGGAAGGAAACCCTGATACTAGCAGTGAGCCGGGTAGGCTTTGGATTGTAACTTTTCATTTACATAATCACAAAGTCTCTCTTCCATATCTACTGACTGGCATATTACAGGGAGAAGAGTTAACCTGTCCTAATTTTGCTTTGGTGATCAATACGGAGTAGAAACATAACAAATAAAATTTCTTTAGCATGAGGCGACTCAGATAAATCTGCGGATGAGCCGGAGAGATTAGTATTTTTTTGTTATTGTTTTTTTTTGTTTTGTTTTGTTTTGGTTTTGTTGTTGTTGTTTTTTTGGATTGACAGGGTTCCTGCAATTAGTATTCGTGGATATGATAAGCCCGCGAAAGCTACCCTTTTTAACCTGGTTTGACGTTGTTTAAAAGAAGAAAGGCTGATGAACAAAATCACGCGAGAACTGTTGTATGCTGATTGTACAAGAAAAACCCACTCAACTTTGCGATCTAAAGGCCCCAAATTTAATTCCTACATTTCCTTCATTTTGTTTCAGGATCTGGAAGTGAAAGCGACTTTAGCAATGTCGATTGATATGTAGAATATGACCTGTACAATATTTACATTAATCAAGCAACAACTTTTTTCATCTTTACTTGGTCAAATACAAACATGTTATCTGACATCATACGTCACCTGTTCCCATAATCGCCGTCATCAAGAACGTGACTGGTTCAATTCTCATTCCTTGAGGCACTTGGTCAACAGAGTTTTAAGCATGTTTCGAGATGATAATAAATACACTATATGTCAAATCAGTGATAAAACCTGAACCTCTCTTTGTTGCTTTTTATGAATCCAGTTTTGGGTGGATTAGGGTAGTACTCGTCGATTTTTGTCAGCATGATCTGATCCCGCTTGCTTCAGTCTTTAGATGGTCTGCTTATCCTGTGCAACTACGCAAAAACAGTGGCATTTACTTTAGCTCAAATAAACAAGATTTGTAAATACTTTGGTTACTCGAGTTGCCATTTGCTAAGCTGATATTACTGACTAATACTGTGGCTTCAAAGGTTCCATAACCCAATCGAATGGTATAGGAATTTTTCGAATTGGTCTTAGTTGCAAATATAAATCTTCATAGAGGCTCTCCATTCTCAAATTATCTTTTCCCGATTTTCTCATTACTGATCTGTGAAATATTCGTGCCTCGCCTACATCGTGACTGCATTTTTATCGTTTAAAATATAGTTGTTTTGTACTTTAACTTTTCAACCGTTCACCATCCGAAAGCCTGAAAATCACTTGCTGAGCGTTAAAACCCCAATTTTCAACTATCAACATGTTCTGCTTGCTTAATAAGCACAGACGCCCTCGAACACAGAGATTGACTTTGATTAGTTCGAACAATGGAGAGAATATTCACCAAAGCGGCCAACGAAGAAATTCCAGGTAACGAGCTTGTCCGAGCTTGTTTTGAGTAACCCATTTAGTAGCAATCCTAGGAGTTTTCTTAACATTCTTCAGGGTGAATTTGCGCAAGAGTTCGATGATCTTTCCTTGTAGAGAAAGGTCACGTATTGCACATTTGTGTTGAAATCTCTTAATATGATGATCTTCATACGCGTTCGCCAGAGTTTTCCTTTACCATTGAAAATCTTCGAAAAAGAATGTTCAGTTAGGAGGTCTGTGAACGGAACCAATCGGCAAACGCTAGGAATGAATAGTTTACAATCAGTGTGGCTTCTAGCCAGCTATATCATATACCAGGTATGGTAGATGTCTCCATTCCTCGTGTCTCCTTTCCTCATTCAACGATGAAGGTGGGTTTCGATAATGATCTAATTTCATGGAAAACTTCTCAGATGTTACCCAGTAGACTACTGATGTTTTGATAAGCGAGCTTCAAGCCTTTTCGAGAGGGCATCTCCTTTTGACCACTTTGAACAGTTAGATAGCGTCGATCAGAATTAGTTTTCAGTCTTACAGATTGAGTGCGGGCGAGTGGACTACGATTTGACGAGACACCTAAGTAAACGGATATGTTGAAAGCTGCTCGTTGAATTCGCCGAACCAAAATGGCGACTGTAAGTTCAATGCCATTGAATTTCATTTTTAGTCGAATGCTGCTCTTACCGAACCGTCGTTTTAAATTCGGACTTCTGAGCTTTTTCTTTGGTGAAAAGAAAAGCTTATCAGCAAAGATCGAACGCCATGACTTGCATTAGTCCCACCCGTAACTATGACATCAAAGTGTGTATATAATATCCACAGAGTAAACAGATTAATGTCTCTCACGAGTGAACAAACTAAACTGAATTGGTATTATCAACACTAGTGGATAAAATCGTACGGAATATCGTTTATACACTTGAATATGTGAAACCTACTTGGCTTGAAGACAGTTATGAAGACTTTCTTTGATAACCAACTGCACAAAGTAGAGTACAAACAACGCTCCAATGGAGTACAAATATCCTGCCTTATAAATCCTATTATACGTTTTAGTGCCTAGCATCGTTGAGTATTTTTACGAGTTGTGCCCTATTTTGATTAGCCTGTAGGGTGAGTCAAAATGCAAACAACGAGTAAAAATTACTCGGCGATACTACACACTAAAACGTCTAATAAGTTATTTATCATACAACTGCTTTTCTTTTGCTTTTCTTCTATTTTACGAAACGAAACGAAACCAGGAGAAATATGGCAAAACCAAAGGAATAATGCATTATATTATCTAATAAGGTAAAGAGAACTTTCAGAAGGATTTTGGAGTAAACGTTAATCTTTAAGGAGAATTTTAATTGACTTAATACATTTCGCGAAATCGACTATTTTCACCCTGCGCCGTCGGTGACAATGTGACCTTCCTCGTGTCACGAAAATAAATTTAAACATTATTACACATAAGTGTTTAACCAAAGCTATTGTGTGACACGAGAATGGCTTCATCGTTACCGCTGAGTGAAAATAGTTCATTTCGCAAAATAGTAATTGCTCTACCATTACTACTTTACGAGATTGATTTTATATGGGTAGTGAAAAAGGAGATAACGAAGATCTTCGGGAATGTACTATAATATAAAGTTTAAACATATTTTCTGACCCGAAAAGAAAGACATAATTGTAGGGTGAAAATAGTCTATTTTGCAAAATAGTATATCTTCTAACATTACTATCTTACGAAATATATTTAATACGGTTTAAGACTTGGAGGAGGGTGGAGGCCAAAATGTTGGGTACTGTTCTAATTTGTGATGTCTAAATCTATTTGAATGACATGAAAGAGGTCACGTCGTCACCGTAGGGGAAAAATAAATAGTAACTCTTCCAGAATTCAGTACTAGTCAGCGAAATGAATAAAAATCCTTCTTATCAACTGACGAATACTCCTTGTGGAAGTTATCCTTACCATATTAGAAAATTCATCTGCATCATTCCTTAAGTTTCGTTATATCTCGCCAGGTTTCGTTTCGTTTCGCAAAGTAGTAGAAGCCATATTTTGATCTGGTCTGCAGTTAGCAGACACTTCTCAGCTTCGGCTGTATCATGTTCTCTCGAATCATAGCATTTTTTCATTGTCTCTGAGAGACCTTACTGTAATTTGCGAAACGAAACGGAAAGAAAAAATGCAATTTGCGAGATTAACTCAAATCGATAATTAGCGAAGGAAATTCGTAATTTCTGATTTTATTTCAAATCCGAAATTTCCGAGAAAAATATTTCTGTAATTTGTACTTGTGTGAATTTAATGAATCAATGCATCGGCTATGTGAAAGAAAAATTGCGTCTTTAAACCATAAAATGCAAACCTGTTATTTGAAAAATGATTCAGCGATGACGCTGTGCTGTTTAAATCGTCAATTTACGAAGTGAAATGTGTGACATGACACACAAATTCAAGCGTGACTTGAGTGTATTAAATATGGGAAAACTGTGTATCTGAAAAGAGAGAAGATTGCTTTGTATGAAACTGCCAACAGTGTTTTTATAGTTAGGGAGATAAATTTAGTAATGATATGCTGTATTCACGAAAGGATACGAGAAGCAACTGGTGAGTATCATTTAAGCACTGGCACAAGCCGAGTTAAAGGCACACGCGTGATCAACCAGTAGAGGATCGAAAAGGGGAATCGGCGATATTTCAGTAACAATTTTAGTCTAATATATAGGTGCCAGTTTCGCATTCGCAAGACAAAAAATAAAGAAACGCAACGACCCAATGCGAAAAGTTGTTCTCTCTTTTAGCATATTGAGCGTGACCAATGCTAATCGTTGTTCCGCGAGACGCGAGTGACTGCGAATGCCGAAGAATTTCTAGTTTCAAACTTTCTTCGTCATTCTGATTTGTTTGTTTGGTAATTCTGCTTACTGATAACATGGGATTTAATAGCGGTCAATTCTTATTAAGGCTCCGCGACAGTTCTCATTATGCGCTGTCACATTAGGTAAACAAAACAGAAGTACTTGAACGGTAGCCAATCTATTTACGTCACCATTTCTCAACTGTTGTGTGGCGCTGGCATTTTACGTTCTGGCAGTGACTCTGCTGAAGATGGCTTTTGGTCTCATTTTAATGCTGCTCACTAGCTCTTCCATCGTCCGTACTGAAGGTTGGTGTAATTAGTCTTAACAAAATTCCTTATGATTTCAATTCGCCTCATAATAATGAGGAGAACCTGCCAAAAAAACATTTTGAAATAGGAAGATCCATGGTCTCTTCGAGCGCCATGGCCTTCCTTCCGCGTGTTCTATTTCACGTCTGGATTATCGTTGCCCAGAAATCTTGAAAGAACCCATCTTTTTTTTTTTTTACTGAGCGATTCTGACTGAATGGGTAGAGAAATCGGATTGAAGCGAAAGAACCGCTCAAAAGGTCTACGATAATATAGAAGTGTGGATTAATTTTATTGAGACCTGTATATCATTTTGATAAACCGCCGTCACGTGCTTGTACACATCTTCCTCACGATCACGCCTTTCGCCTGTGGGAAGACTGCCAATTACTTTGAACAATGTTCATTCATGGATGAATTGATTCCACTCATTCCGTCAATTTTAAAATGGGAGAAATTTAAATATCAAAGGTGAAAACTTATCAATCTATATATGATGACAGCTATATTTGGGATCAGCTCGTAAGTCAGCCTACTGGTCCGAAATAAAGGCCTAAGTACTTATTTCGTCTAGAATAAAAGCAAATTTCCAAATTTTTCCCATTATTATGGAAGTACCTCTTGATTTTGGGCAAAATAAAATATCTTTGAACGACATTGTCGCAATGGAATTAATATTTGGTTATTTGAATGTTCATAAGTTGAACGTTTTATGGTTAACTTGAACAAAGTACGTATTACAAAATTTAAATTGAGCACAAAATAACTGATCTCGAACGAACTAATCTTGAACGACCTCGAATAAATTAGGACACGACTTCGAATAGACCTGAACGAATTACACAAAACATGTTTCCTTTTACAGTTATATAGCAATCGAAACGAAAATATGCCTACAACTTATCTTACAAAACAAAAGACGTTACATAATAACAAAAACCTACAATACGACGAAATGAATAGAAAAAAAGATTAGTGAACGTTAAATAAGCACGATCCATAAATTAAATGTACTTTTGTCCACTGAACGTAAACAATCGATCCGCCTTCATATTTTAAAAAGAAAACATTCTCATGAATTCCATCCTAGTTCTTTTGATGGCGATTAGTGACTTAATCAATTTTGATGCCTGTAAGTGTTTTGCACTCCGCCGACAGATGTTTTTAAATCAAGAATTTTTTGTTTATTTAAGATAAAGCATTTTTTGGTTTACGTAAGATATCATGGGCTGTCAAGATTAGTTCATAGACGTGAGTTAGATTAAGAAAGCGGCAGTAAGGAATCCGAGATCAGGTTGAAAGGACTGTGCTTTATTCGAAAGGTGTGTTTTCTGCCTTTGTGCAAGGACTGGAAAATATCGCGTCTTAAGCAGGATAACGCCTCACAGAATTGTGAGTATATCAACATTGTACGTATTCTAGAGAGCTTTTTGTCGCTTCTGTTTTTGTCATATCCGATGTGGGCGATCCTCACGTGTATTTTTTGCTTTCAGTTGACAGGCTAGCGCGTGTGCAAGGGAAAACTCGCTGAATAAACAAGTTCAATAATTGGTAAACCTCGAAGACTTTATTTTCCTGGTGAATCTTCAAAATCAGTAGTACCAGAACCCGTGGTACGAAACATTAAGCTACATTTGCAATTGATCCTACTTTATTACGTAAATTACATCATGTTTTTGACTGGGTCTTAATTTCGTTTTTGGTATGTTTTAATATTCTTATCTCTATAAAGAAAATCCAATCTTCCGGGTACTTCCACGCAAAATGTTCTTTTTAACCAACGGTGAGCGCAAAATGCATACAAGAGGCGCTCCCAGCGAGGGCATGGACATGAATTGAGTGTTGTTTGAAATAAACATCACCTCTTTGGAATGCGCACGTAATCGCTAATTGAGTTTTCTCTAAAAGATCTTTCCTGCTTTGAGAGACTGTTCATGAAGGATATTTTTTTTCATCTTCTTTCGGTGGCTCTATACTAGCTTTACACCTAATCTTTATCAAAAACGAAACAATGAATTCGAATTAAATCATCGCTCATCACTGAACTATGTTAGTAGTTCAACTTTATTATACTTCTGCCAGATGTTATGATTGTCAGTAGTTCAACTTTATTATATTTCTGCCTGATGATATGAATTTTCAATCGATCTATCATCTGATCTATCATCTGCGATAAGAACAGCCGCAATGGTGTGCACAACTGGTGAATGTTTTATTCTTTTTCTTTCTTTCTTTCGGCATTCCTCCATCTTCATCGTTATCAGCATATTCACTATATTTCTCATTGTAGTCTCCTTTGCTTCGCTCTCTCTTCACTATGAATCCTATTCTTTTTCTGCAAAATCAAGCCTCGATCTCTCACAGTAAAGCTTTCATCTGAGCCACTATGTCAACGCCTCTTTTGTTTGACATCGCGCTATTTTTAAGAGGCTAGATCCTATTTATGGCTTGTGGTTTCCGTAAAGGCAAAAGGAGATTGGCGTCACATCCCACAAAGCTCACGTGGATAAAAGAGTTTGACCCAGTTCTTCATATCCTTTTTCATATGTATGCTTGTGCTTATTAGTCGCACGCACATATAGTGGACGTTGTTCCGCCTTTACGGTGTGAACATTTTCACATTCGCCATAAGTTTTTTCCAGTTCGCCAAGAAAATGGCTTGAAAAGAAAAAGACTTCACAAACGAAGAAGAGGAATAAACAATCTTTGGGGAAAAAAGAAACAGATAAATCTTCTTTCCATTCTTTTAGTGCTATGGATAAATATATCTAGAAGTAAAAGCCTAGTCATGCTGACATGCATACCATGGAACTCTCTAAAACGATGTAATGTTATCATCAGTTTTTCTAACAAAATTTCTTATCGTATTTTTCAAAACAACTTATGGACTCCATCGATCCGAAATACCCAGCGCCCGAGTATTTTACTATTCCTGATCTAATTTTTTTTATTAAAAACTCATGCATTTTAACTTTCCTTGTTGTCCGATTTTTACGGTCCGATTCTTGTGACGTTTAGTTTTGACTTCTTGTGCGACTTTGACTTTGGTATATCGTACATTTTTGTTCTCCTTGTTGTCGAATTTATGTTAGTATCCCGTAAACTTAAAGTTTTCCTTGACGTTAGTATATTGTGCATTTTAATTTTCCTTGTTGTCCGATTTTTCCGTTTGCATCGCGTTCTTTATTGTTTTCCTTAATGTCTGATTTTACGTTAGTGTCTCGCGCATTTATAGTTTTCCTTGTTGTCCAATTTTTTCGCTGGTATATCCCGCCTTTATAGTTTTCTTTGTTGTCAGACTTTTAAGTAAGGAACTCGTGCACTTATAGTTTTCCTTCTTGTCCGACTTTTTACGTTCGCATCTCGTGCATTTAAGTTTTCCTCGTTCTCCGATTTTTACGTTAGTATTATGCGCATTTTTTGTTTTCCTTGTTGTCCGTTTTTACGTTAGTACTTCGTGCACTTATAGTTTTGCATATTTTACGATACATTTTATAAAAGAAATGAAAAACTTGTTCCTCGAGCAATGTTGAGTTATATAAGTACTTGGGTATTTTTAAGAACACTCGCGAAGTGCGGAGAAGTACTCGCCTCCGGCTCGTGCTTCACCACACATCTCTCGTGTTCTTACAAAATTCCCGCGTGCTTATGAAAACAAAACCTCCTGACCACTCCTCCATTTCACTGAGCCATTCTTCCTTTCCGTTTTCCTGACCTTAGAACCTGAAGTCAATAATGGAGTTTAACTTAACCACACTGTAATGTCTGATTAAGATTTCCATTCATCCACGTTGTTGATAAACATTATGTTAATACTAGTGAAGATGCAAGTGTTCCCTTTGGAGGCTTACTGATGAAGTAGACCTCCAAACTGGACCTTTGGAACTCCTTTTTCGGGGCAATCTAATAAACTTGATGGTTTTAACCTTGGAAAAAAAAAACAGAAAACGTTAGACCTCATATATCAAGTCTTCAAATGGAGTTTTCCATACTGAGAGGTCTTCGATTTTTACTTTTCAGCGTCAGCCAAAACCGGAGTTAAGAACTATACTATTTTTGGTAGGTACGATTTGGATAATACAAACGGCAAAAGTATAAGTTGCGTCTCCTAATGGGTTACTAGCATACTAGATACACTCTTCTTGAGCAAATGATTTTGACGAAGAGCCTCCCTAGTCCCTAGCCTCCCTCCCTCTCCCCAAGACAGTTTGGTTTTCCAAGAGACATTGTTAATTTTATGCCCTGGTTCCAGAAGATGTACAAAACTTGGGCGCCAGAAAGGTCAGAAAGTAAATGATTTCATACCATATCATCACCATGTCTTTGCTTTGATGCTATAGGGAGGGGGACGGGGGTGATCCATTAATTCTCCCTCCCCGTCCGAAACCCCGTGCCGGCAATGGTTGTAAGATCGCTGTATATTTTGATCTCCTGAACAGCTAGTCTGGGCGAGATGGTCGAATTCCCTTCATGGAATATATCACAGTACAGACAGACTGACTATTTCATCCTGACGAGTTCGGAGTACCGAGTAAGAATACAAAAACTAAGCTCCGACGGCTCGACGCAGTCCTGCATCGAGGAAGCAGAGTGGTATAAAAGATGTCGGGCATGGGTAAACATGACTTACCTCGGTAACGACATGGCCGGTGTTAAGATAATTGTCGGGAACGAGTCAATGGGTGGGGTATTCAGGGTGTATCTCTATTGCACTGGTGGTTCCGGGACCTGCAGCTCGGATCCGTTAATGGAAGTTCACCTTGTCATCAGAGATAAAGGTAAATTTCATATTTCACTGTATTCTTAGAATGTTTCACGATGCATACTGTCACGTCCTTTTTGGAAAACGAAACGTCCGGTCCTCTAGAGCTTGGAGTTAATTCACTTTTGTCACAGATGAATAATAATGATAGTAATAATTATGGCGTATCAACGTATCTGCACCAAATACAAATGACTCTTCAGCTGTGAATAGTAAAGGAACTACAATAAAGATGATACCCTAAACATAAATATATGTTATTTGCCGGCTGGGAGGTCCGTATGGTGAAAAACTGTGACCGAGGTCTTGAAAATGCTGCTGCATAACTAACATATTTATTTTTTTTAAAACTTAACGAAATGCTCTCCGAAAGAACCCGAATTATTTTTGACTGTCACAAATCAAAAACAGTCAATTAATGATCTAACGGAAAGTATTATACACTCTCATCAACGATTAATTTGTGTACGAAGATTTACCTCTGTTCACTAAGTAAACGGCGAGGAAAGTAATTGTAAGTAAATTCAAATTTTTTATTTTGAAGTTGTGAGAGTTTGCTCGTTTGTTTGCTACAATGGCGTGGGTAAATCTGGTCTTTTCTCCACAAACCTAAATTCGAATGATATACTCTAACGAGACACAAGGGGATTTAATGCGGCCTTTTCTCACTGAATTCCTTCTGTCAGTTTCTGTTGCAATTTACAGTACAAATGTCCAAATTGAACGGACTTCGTATATTTGTTGTAGACCTGAGATTAAAACTTCGCTCGTTCTTTCACTACGAATAAAATTGTTTTAAAAATTCAGATATTAAATGAATGAAATTTCCATCAGTTAGTTCAACTGTAACCAAATACCTCATGTTTAACTTTCTAAGTACTTTCTGTGACCAATTAAAATTAATTGCAGACGGTTTTTAGGCCGCTTGTCAACCAACGTAAAGACCGCGTAAAGAACCAATCAGATTGCAGGATTCGTTACCGTGCCCTCTGGAAAAAGAAATAAATACATTTATAATATACCGTAGTCACTAATGTTCCCCATAGCCACTCAAAAACTGCGGCTGCGGTAATTTGTCTACATTGGAAATGCTGGTAGTAATAATCAGCCTTTTAATTTCCTCCTTCGTTACAAGTGGAACAATTTTACCAATTAACACAAGAGGAACGACTTTTTTGATTAACATTGTCTGTATCGTTATTTTCACCGGAGAGGCACAGGTCTAGTGGCATGGACTCGGAACTGAAATGTCAGGGATTGAGCCCAGTGTCATTTGGGGAGGAGCCACTTCACTGTTAAAGAGCCTCTTTTCTCCCACTTGTAGTTTTATCATTTTCATAATTCTTACTCGCTGTTATTTCTCTTTTTATCTTGACTTCACCGGCAGCCTTCAAAACGAACGCGAGCGCAAGTGTTGTAGGCCCCACACAGAAAACAAAGAACACTAGAGCTCAGCTGAATAGAGGAAGAGGTAGGTTTACTGTACTGTACAATGATGGTCCTGGTGATAAACCCCGAGAAACTCCTTGGTAGACTGTATGCAGTGCAGTACTGATGCAACTGTTGATAGAAGTGTGGTATCCTCCCTCTCAAACGAGCCCTTTAGGTTATGAAACCCCTCTGACCCACGCCTAATGAATCAATTTTTGTAAACTAGTTTGAGTGGAATATAACTCTAGCTGAAAATCCAAACGCTTTTTTTAAAAAATTTTACGAGTAAAGAAATCCATATCTTTTTTTTCATTTAATTACAAAAATCTAATCGTCGGCTCGCCTCAAATTGAAAATCTTAATGACATGTTCTCTTATTCGTAATGCAGGTTGTAGATCACGACAATGTATTTAAATTAAACAAAAACTCAGTTGTAATGAATTTACATCTTGTCTACTCTGCCAGCACCCATTTATCGCTTTCAACAACAACATGATGGATGCAAGTCAGATTTTGAAAAATCTTAAAAGCATTCTAGTTTGACATATCAAATATTTTAATGCGTTATCCCTTGACGAAGGAAAAGAACCAGAGCCTATTAGTAATGTCCTCCTGATGATTCTTCCTCGAGATAGAGACTTAGAAAGTGTAAGCGAAGGAGGGGAAGTAAAAAAACCTCTTCATACGTATGTCAAATTCATCTCCGCGTTATCTTTATCAATCAACTATTTCTGTTTTTTACAAAGCTTAAATGTTGTGGATTTCGTAGAAGGAAGGAGAAGGATTTCGAGCACGAAAATTGCATTTTGCATTATCTTTAAGTTTCATCAGCAATGTGAAAAAAAACTTTAACTTTAACTCCAAGTCATTCATTTTTGACAGAGGCGAAATCATCAGTCCCATATTCACCCACTATCCCGACTACCCAGGGCTTACAACTACCGGAATCGAGGTCTAAGAAAAACAGGAATGGAGGGTTGAGCCGTAAAACAGGTAGGTAGGTTCACAGTGCAAGGAAATGCTGATTCCTTTAAAAGTCCAGCAGTTTTCTTTACTAATCCCTCAATGGATTAGATCATCTGTGATTATTATTTATTATTCGTTTATCATAATTTGAAACTAAAAGTATAACTGAAGACCATTTACTTCTTCACAATTTTCACTGGGTTATCCTCATCTTACAGGAGTCTCTGCTCTTCTCCAAGCCGTCCTTCTGTTTGTGATGGCGGTACTTATCTAATCTCGCTCGAAGAATACCGAGACATGAAATCATGTATTTGACGTAGTGCGTCCTCATTTGAAAGGATCTTGATAGAAAAAACTGTTTTCATCTCTTCATTATGATATTTGACGTTACTTAAACTTGAAAGTTTCTAAAAGACACAGCAATTTTAAAGGTAAAGAAATTATGAAAACTTATTTTCTTAAGCTACTATAAACGGTATTTAAAAGGAAAAATTTTGAGAAACAATTATGATGTAATTAACTAATGTGAGATTTCAAGCATGATGATAAGCTTTGAAAAAATTTTAGAATTAGGAATCAAGAAATTGATCTCTTTTTTAAAATAATTTTGTTAGTGCCGTCTCTCCTGCTAAGCTAGTTGATGTCATTTTAAGTGTAAAGTTATTGAATGAAACAGTAGTTGGTAAAAACGGATTTCCACGACATATTTAGATTAATTAGCTGCTGTTACAAACTAGAAATATTAAATCGGTTTAAACGCTAGTAAA